AAATCTTTTCTTTGCCCCAGTATAATTTTTAAAGGACAAACAATAAGAACATAGTTTCACATAGTGGTAAAGAAATCCTGGCTGAGGAGCACAGCCTTTGAGGTCCAATCACCTTTAAACATTCTGGATTCCATGTGTGACCCCAATACCTTACATAACTAAGAGTTATAAGAAAGAAATATATGTAAGAAAAAAGTACATGATTGCTTAAAGAAAATGGACAGAGTTCTTGCAAATATTTACTTTTTTCACTCAATCAGTTATTATATTTGCAATTCATATGATGAAACTATTACTGATTGGAAACCAAGAGGCATAACTGGTTAAAGAAAAAGTGCCCAGTCTGTTTTCTCTACTCCACAGTGTATGGACATGCAACCACATGCACTGGAGCCCAACAAAACTGGGTTAAATGGCTGAAATATTACTTTAATGTTAAATGTGATTCACGTAGCACAGTGTAAAAACCCTTCAAATATAAACACAGGTACCCAAACCCCAGTTGCTTGTGTCTTCCTTACAAAGATTTTCATAGAAATAGACTCTTGCCATAAAACAGGGCAAGAAGGCATTTGATGAAAGCCTACCCATATTTTTGCTCATGAATTTCCTTGTATTTATCATGTCTGGTGCTTGGATGGGCTTATTATCCTGGGATTTCTTCTTGCACAACTCTCTTTTTATGTCAGGATGTATGTGATTTCTGTCTGTAAACTCTAAAGTACTCTCTGAATTTTAACAACAACAACAAAACAAAACCAAAAAACCCAACAAAAACAAACCTGCCTGACACAACTCAAGATTGATCAACTATTTTGGAATAAACAGGCCTGTGACTGGAGAAGATTCTAGGAGGCAGGTGCCTCACTTAACTGAATGGGTTTGGGAGGGAGGGAGAGAGGGCTGGGGCAGTTCACACTGGTTAAACTCTAAGCAACTAAAATTTCCACCCTGGTAAAATGTAGAAGTTCAAGAAACAACATTGCCATGATATTAATGACCTTTGAGGGCATATAGAGTTCAGAGTTCATTTTCTATTTACAACATCCCTTGCTGCTCCACCTCCTACCCTTCCCCCTTTAAAAAAAAGGAGGGGGACACAATTATTTAGGACATTGTGACATTCAGCCTGGCTAATTTTTATACAAAAATAGAGACAATGGAAAATATAGCAGCTAAGTATTAGTAATGGGTAAAACTGGGGATGCCCAATGTGGGGAGAAGGTATCTCCTGAGCAGTTCAAAGTTCATTCTTTGTTCACATATAATGAAAAGTCTTCAGTTATCAGGTATTTAAACCCAAATCAGCAGTTCCATATCCGTAACCTGAGCTGAGTGTTCCTCCATCTAATGGCCATGCTGCTGTCGTTTGCAGTGAGTTGGGTGACACTCGATTTGTACTCTGAGACGGGAACAGATGGGCTTTCATTGTGAGACTCCGCCTGTATGCAAATGTGAACGGAGTTTCACCCGATCCCGGGGTCTGACCTGACCGTGCACATGCATTTACTCAACGTGGCTCAGCCTGGGGGGGCGGCGAAGGGGGAATAAAAAATGGCAATCGGATAGTACCAGCGGCAGGTCAAGTTTACCATCCGTCTTTCAGCGGGACTGAGATGGCAACACAGTTATTTAGTTTCAGTGTTGATGTGCTTTGCAATAAACGCCATCATTTCACCTGTTTATGAACCCAGCCTCGTCTGAGATCTCTGTGAAATCAAACAAAGCTGGCAGTCAGCACTCTTGTTTCCAGCAGAATGGGAGACTATGGACTTTAAAATAAATAATAAATAAATAAAGCATCTTTATTTTGTTCCCTGCCTTGCATATATAAGTCACTATTTTTTCCCTCCCTCCCTTTTTATTTCTTTCATTGAATTTATTAATTTCTTATTTGGAGAAAACAAAATACATTTTCCCCCAAATGCTTTTTGTTTCAAATTAAGAAATATGATCATTAATGTCAGAATAAACAACCACCATTTTAGATGTCTATGAACTATTTTGCATGTACACAGCAATGTACAGTCGCTAATAAATCTTACAATTAAATGTGCAGGCCTTCATTAGAGTGGAAATATGAACAGCTGTAATCATACACATTCTATTGACAGAGAAAAATGTTGTTTCATTTCTAATTTTCCACATTGGGAAAGAATGAGAGATGGATTGGAACCACGATTGTTTCTGTAACTGTAGGCTTTTTCTTCACATATGCAGAAGGACAACAAACCAGTGTCTCTGACTTCAGGGTCGAACAGCAGTGATTTGCCTCAATTTTCTTCTCTCATAAAAGTAGATTTCTCTCGGGAAACATATAAGCCTTTGGCTAGAAAACCCATAGGACAGACACCCCCAAACTGTAACAAATAACGAATTGATACATTTCTTCAGTACATCTGTTCTTTAAGGGGTTCTGTTAACTGATGTCTGGAACTGGCATAAAAGAGTGGCTAAGAATATAGTGAAAGTTGATGCATACAGCAAAAACTGCCTGTGGCAAAAAAAAAAAAAAAAGCAAACAAACACCACACTGCTTCTAGTAACTCATGAGTATTGTCCAGAATGGAAAGAGGGTTTTTTAATTTTGGTTTTTTGGACAGGATCTTAATATGTATCCCAGGCTAGCCTCAGACTCATTATATAGCCTGGGTTGACCTTGAACTTGTAATCCTCCCGCCTCAGTCTCCTGAATGCTGATATACACACCACTCCCAACTAGACTTAGGGTCTTTTGAAGTTGCATTTGTACAAGTGCAGGCAAAACCAAGATGGGCTTTCTTAAAAAAAAAAGGGGGGGAGGTCTCTGTCTAAGGATATTCTTCCGTACCTCTCTGTATTCCAAGCCTCACTCCAAGGTGCAAGGCTAACATGTCAGGACAGCATTTCCAAGCAGTTCTAGAGAGTTAGGCTTGAAATAATTCCAAATAGAAATAAATGGTCAGGACTAGCTCTAGCATTTGTCTACTAGGCACCTAGCAGTAGCTGACAGAGATAATAAAGAATAAAGAGTTGCATGGAAGTACAGCAGGTATTAAAAAATGTCATACTTCTCTTCTTGGCTATTGAAAATTGATTTGATTATCTTGTCTGGTCTCTGAATATATATTTCCAAGTAGATGGGAGGTTTTAAGAGACTCAATATGTAGACATATATGTATATATACATATCAACACATATGTATGCATTTACATCTGTGTATAGATCCTTCCTTATACAAACAAGGATTTATGTGAATGCAGGATTTTGTGTCCACATAAACCTCAGCTTGTGGTTGATCTATTAGAGGCCACTTTAAGTTAAGAATATCATTTATACCCTTAGAAAATTTACTTGAAGAATTGTCAAGGCAGTGCTTAACAGAGAATTCAAAATGTTTATTTACATTAGAGGCAGAGAACACATATGTTCTAAGTTTAATAGGATAACAGGAGGCTTAACAAAGTTATATTCTGGCATAAGTAAGATTCTGAAGACTTTTTTTAGCAGAGTGAAAAAGGAAAATGAAAATATTTGCAATATGGATATTCTAACCAAGTTATTAGAAACACTATTTATGGCTATTTGCTTTATTTAGTAAGATGATATATTCTCTAAAATATTGTCTAAAACAAGCTTGAGATTTGGAAATTGGCAGTTTATTTTTTAAATGTCATATTGGAAGCAATAACACAAAAAGCAAATGCTTATATTTTTTAAGTTTTTGGTGGTGCTGGGGTTTGAACTCAAGGCCTTGCACTTGCTAGGGGGATATTCTTAATCACTTAAGCCAATCTGCCAGCCTGTATTTTTTAAGTTTTTGAAGAAAAACAGCCCAGACACCATCAGTTTACCCCAGATGAGAGCTCTCAGGTATCTACAAAACGATACTCTTCCTGAATTTATGAAATCCATGAAAATTCATTTTGCTCAAATGATTATGTCACAAAGTACTTATAAACAAGGAGGTTCTGAGCTCAGATAAATAATAACCATAGTAGCAAACATTTATATGGTTCTTATTATATACCAAAGACTCTTGTAAGTACTTTACATAAATTAACTCATTTAATCCTGACAAAGATCCCATGAGGAACATGTCCTATTTTTGTCTCCATTTTACAGATGAGGAAAATGAAATTTGCCCAAATAGCTTCTCCCCAGAACAGAAAATGGAAAATGTGAGGAATTGGGACTCAGATTTTTGAAAAGATCTTCCATGTAATGTGACACCTGTGCCTATTTTGTCTGTAGAAAATTATAATGCATTCTATAAAAATCACATTTATGAAATATGCAATCCGTTTGATAAGCTGTAAGAAGGAAATATGTAACGTTCCTGTTCCTTTTAGAGATTGCTGTTCTTCATCTATGACATGGTGTGGAACTAATAAGAAAGTACTGCAAAGTTCTCATGAAAACTCCTGTGTGGGAAAGTTATGGGAACCACAGTGCAGGGTCTAGTCCAAGTGAGAGCAGGTTGTATGCTTTTCTCAAATTTGACCTTGTCCAGCCTATCACTCACTTCTTTGGCAACAAAATTATATCCCTCTAGAGCATTTCATTATTCTCTTTATTTTGCTCTAATGTTACCTCAATTGTACCTTTGGAAGTATAGGTGAAGAAAATTAGGCAGAACACAGAGGTCTTTTCTTTTCTCCTCTTGTTACACAGAAATTTTGCACCATGTCTAAATGTACCAAGGACTGGATTGTGAGCCAATTAATTCACAATGAAAATAATGACATTGATAGGTCATAATTAGCCTCTGAATCTTAGTCTCCCTGAGCACTCAGCAAAGGTGTGTACCCCTTTGGCTCCAGAGAAGGGGTGGGGGGAGCCACCTTGTGGCTGGAAGATGACCCAGCAGCCTCCTGGACCCTTGCTGGTTCTCAGTGGGAAGGAAAGGAGATGAGCATAGCAGCCAGAGATAAATCAGAAATATCAATCACTAAATATTTGTGGAAAGTGGTAAGGGATATAAATAGAATCTATAACTATAATAACACTGAAGCTGTAGTTGTAAATATACATTATCCTCTTTAATATGACATAGAGTAGATTGAGAACTGAGAAATTATTAAGACCCCCCACAAAAAGAATTGGAAGAAAGAATGAAAACATTTAAGTTAAAATTATGTTCATTTTGTAATTCAATAAAGAAATCCCAGAGACATATTTTTAAATTTAATGTTGTTTTCTAAAGCACAGAAAAAGCCCCACAGACATCTGTTTGCATACATTGTGTGTCAGGCAACATCAGATTTGAATGGAATTTATCTAAATTTTATATGCATGGCTTGATGTAAATTGAAATAAATTGTACAGCATACTCTGTGTGGACATATTGGTTTTTCCATCGCTGCTTGAACTTTTAACCCCAGGGCCTGGGCCGGTCACACATTGACCTGTCTGAACTTTGCTGGTAGATCCAAGTGTGGAAGGCTGACCTTGCATCCATGGCAACCATAAAGTAGGGTCCATGACTCCTCTCTCCCTTTCTCTCTCTTTTCTCCACACTCCAAACAAAACAAAACAAAACAAAACAAATTAGTATATTCTCGCACAGTCAGTCAGTGTAATCTTGGAATGGTTTTGCCAAAATGCATTTTGCCTCTAACCTAAGCTCTAAGCAAAGCTTTTTCAGCTTGCCTGTCAAATTTTAATGAAAGTTTGAAATGAAAGCCTTTATAAAAGTTAATGGAAAAGACCCCTTCCTGGGACACACTCACTTTGTTTGTCCACCATTATAATAAAATATTCTTCACATACTCATACATTAAGTAATGCTGCTATAGGTATGTTATACACGCAGATGAAAATTATATGTGTGGGATTTCAACATAATCCTTTAGAGGTGGATTTGAATAAAAATAGTTAAATAAGTTTTTACTGCTGCCCACAATATCCATATTAGATCTAACATCTTGCAGTGTCATACAGCTAATGTATCTGAAAGGGTAAGCATACAGTTTATCTCTCTATTATAAGTTGTAGCCTCCATTTTTAAACTAAGGTACTTCTATACTTCTGATTGGTTTAGTTTTTTTACAAGCTTATATTAATTTTACACAGTAATGGGTTTAATTATGACATTTTCATACATGCATATAAGGTACTTTGATCATATTCACCCCTCTATTACCCTTTATTATCTCTCATCCCCACTCCTCTTTTTACTTTCATGACTCTTTCCCCCAAAATTCCACATACTGACCTTCAAATCCATGTACTAACAAATTATTATTTTTGCAGTGTTGGTGGCACTCCCTAGGTCTTGTTTATTCAATTCTAGAGCTAAAAATCTACTTATAGGATATTTTTATGGTTCTTCATTTATTAATGGGAGAAACATTTGTTAAAGGCCTACTTGTAACTTTCAACTAAGTACTGTGGGGTAACAACAACAGGAACAAAAAAGGTATGTGACTGGTCTTAAGAAATTACAGTTTTATGACAAGATAGGACTATTACTTAGAGAAAAGTTGAGAACAATTAGATAACAGTGACAAAGATATAATTGTCTAAAATTGTATACCAACTGACAAGGAAAAACAGTTTTATGGAGTGACCAATCAGGAGTGTTTTTAATGAAAAAAGACCTCTTATGAACAAAGCCTTGAAAGAGGTGGCCCTCCAGGGCCAATCAGCAGACATTCTAGACTTAAGAGGTCTCATAGATTAAGTAAAACCTGGGATGGTGTTGGTAATATGTAAGGGTTGATAAGGAAATAAAGTGACTAGAGGTGATAGACTACAATTTACTGGGAATAGCAATACCCTTGAATACTCATGGACTAACCTGCTATCTATTTGGATCCTAGGGTCCACACACATACCTCAGTTACTTGTTTCTGAAGTTTTTTGTGGAGAACTTTAAAAAAAGAAGAGACTTGTCAGGTTTGAATTATAAGTACTTCTGTTACCTTTCTTTTTTTCTTATTTAGAAAGAATGAAGAAAGATCTAATTTATACATGTTTGAGGTAGAAACCTGAAAATCACTAACGCTCATGAATTGTGTTGGCAACCATAGGTAATGGGAGTGGTAGAAGTCCGATGAAACAAGTTCTCCTTTAGTGTGGCCATGAGGTAGTTTAAAAACAACAACAAAAACACCTTAAAAAATTCTTTGTCAGGCAATAGTGAAAAAACAAAGGCAACATAGTGTAAGGTGAATCAGGAAATATTGTCAGTTTGCCTCTGGCAAAGCCTATGACCGTGTAAAGTCGCTTTCTCTCTTTAGGCCAGAGTTTCTCTACATGTAAAAATGATAAAAATATCTAATACACACTGAATCCTTACTTTATACCAAGGGCTAGAGTTCTAAACACTTTCACTTAATTCTTACAACAACTCTCTCTGGTAATAGAGATCCGTAAACTAATCCCAGTTTACGGATCAGGAAACTGTGGCACTCACTCTCTTTTCCAGTATTGATCACACCCAGATAGTCTTGCTTTAGACTTTATTGCCTCACTACACCAGGGTTTAGCAACTTTATAAATAAAAAGCCAACTAATAAGTATTTTAGGTTTTGTGGTCCATATAGTTCCAAGAGTGGCAACTGTATAATTAGGCCACTGTAGTGCAAAAGCAGTCTTAGACAATATATGGATGAATAATTGTGACTGTTTCATTAAAACTTTTAATAGGCACTGAAATTTGAATTCCATATAATTTCAGATGCCATGAGTTGTTTTTTTTTTTTTTTATTTTTCTCCAGGCATTTAAAAATGTAAAACAATTCTAAGTTTATGAGACTTACTAAAACAGGGAGTGGGAGGTAGATTTTGCCCATGGGTTATAATTTGCTTATCTTTATGCTCACTACACTGTACTGCTTCTCAGTGTACAGAACAAGGAGTTGGACTAGATGTTCTGTAAAATAACTACTGTTAGAAAAATCTTGGAGCCGGTTGTAATGGTACACTCCTGTAATTCCAGCACTCAGTAAGCTGAGGCATGAGGATCATGAGTTTAAAGCCAGTCTGGGTACATAACAAGATCCTGCCTCAAAAAAAAAAAAATTAATTCAATGACTTTCTAGCTCCAAAAGTTGGGTAACCATTTTGGATTCAACACTATGTCAGTGAGGAACTGAAAGCCACCTTAGAAAACAAGACTTCCCATCCCTTGTTGTGGAAAAACCATATTTACTATCTCAGAAGGATGAGGAATTCCTCTGTTGAGCTGATATTTTTTTAAAGAGATGTCATTGTCTCCGTCTCACACTAATGGCTGTTCCTGTCAGGACTGAGACCTTCATGATGCAGCAGGGGCCCATTTGCTCCACTTTCTAGAAATGGAGACAAGTTTCTCTGCTTTCGCTGCAATTATACATTATCTCCTACAACTTCTGCATCACCTTCTGCAGTTGAAAATATTAAGCACTTCCCATCTTCTCGCAGGCCTTCATTCTTTAACCAGTTATTATTGTGACTTTCAAAAGAATCCTTTCCAAAATGTCTTAATCTTTTGTCTATGATTGAACCAAGAATTGGACAGGTTAGAGACCTCTTTTCCTTGGCTATATTTAAAAGTTTGATTTTCAAAAAATGCACATATGAAAATTTCTGTAAACTCTTTTTTTTGGTGGGACTGGAATTTGCAAGGGCTTTGTATTTGCAAAGCAGGCTTATAAAGCAGTTATCTCCTAACTGCTTTAATTGTGCGATACTTTGATGTGATAATAGATGTACCAAATCAACTTTTCCTTTAAAATCAAGCGAGATAGCCAGTTTTGAATTTAAAACTTTTACTTTTTCTTTTCCAGATTTTGCTTTTGTTTCCTTAGTGTCTATTGCAGTGATGTGTTCAAAACAAAGTACAATATAATACATACCTCTTACATATCATGATGTTCCTATGTATTATCCCCAGTTCAAACTCCTAAGTAGTCTACTGAGCTATGTCTATGACTTTCCAAATATTGTCAGTTTGTTTCACAGATACCCAGAAAACATCCCCTTATTATCTAACAACTTCGTATATGGCCTAGGTCTGATAAATTCAGAGCTGTATTTCACTCCTGGAAATGGCCATTGGAGTCAAATTTTGGAAGGTGTTTTTCCCCCAAGCCTTTATCTCTTATAGAAATCTTCCCAGGAAACTCATATTAGCACAAATAGAGATTTTTTTTTTTTTTACGTTATGTATACGGTCTCAGAGTGTTCACTCAACAACTGTGGTCATATAGCTACAGTGAGAGTAGATGAATAAAGGTTTCTTTGAGAGTAAAATGTTCATCAATTTATATTTCCAAGGCTCCTGAATATTATTTGACAAATTACACAGGTGCTCAAGTAAAAGAATATTTATGGGTTATGGAAAGGGGTTGAGATAAAATGTGATTTAATCAAAAATATCTAAGCAAAGAGAAACTTTAAAAAGAGAAAACCATACCATAACAAGGAGTCCCTCTCCCTGCAGCAGTATCACAGAACGGTGGCACCAGACTGCCTGTCACGTGCTAACTTCTTAGCCTAATTAAAAGATGAACTTAAAGTTGCTAGTGCAGTAAGAGTCTAATGTTTCTTTGCCCCTGCTGCTATTTAACAGTAATCTGTTCAGTGACTAGCCTAGTGACTTTATTTATTTATTTATTTATTTATTGGCAGGCTCTTGCTGTGTAGCCAGGCTAGCCTTGAACTCACAATCCTCCTGCCTTAGCCTCCCAAATGCTGGGATTACAGGCATGTACCACTGTGTCCAATTTTTTTATTCTTTTACTTTGTGCTTGTTTTTGTTTATTTAAACATCTTACTGATCTTTAAAAACTTAAAATACATTTAAGATAAAGTTTAAAATGTAGAATTACCTAAAACATAATTTACTCTTTTTTTAAAAAATCCCTGCAATTTGATTGATTCAGATCACTGCCAACCATATATTGAAATTGTTTGCCAATCTCCATCCCCTACTGGAGTCTAGTTCCTTGAAGGTATAGCACAATGCCTGTTACTGGGTGAATGCCCTGACAATGTTCGTTGACTTGAACTGTTGAACAAAATAGTGACAAACAGGATGGATTTTAACTGAATGTGAGAATACAGAAACTCAAGGATTCTTTGCATTTTTGGCAGTTAGGCCCATTCTAAAGACATGCTGTTGAAAGCGTTTGATGTCCCCACTCCAGAGGAACTAATACAGAAACCTTAAAGCCACAGAGGTCAACACGAGAAGGGGGATCAGGAACCAGCATAAAGATCAGTTAGAGATGAATCAACTTGGGTTATAACACATTTATACATGGAAGCAATGCTAGGGATCTCTCTGTATAGCTATCCTTACCTCAACTAGCAAAAATGCTTTGTCTTTCTTAAGTCTTCTCTTCAACAAAATTAGAGATAAGGGCAGAACAGGTTCTGCCTGGAAATAAGGGGGGGTAGAGAGGAGGGGCGGGGGGCAGGGGGGAGAAATGACCCAAACAATGTATGCACATGTGAATAAATGAAAAAAATAAATAAAGACATGATGTAATTAAGCATCTATGACAAGCCAATATTACTGGCTTCCTTT